GTGCCACTTCGTTGTATCCAAAGGGCCCGCCTGGCCAAAAAACACACGGTTAGAGGCTTGGGTTTCATTTTATTGTACACTTTTTAACTAGTTCACATGTCTACAGGAGAATTCAGCTCTTTACAGCCTAAGACATGAGCACAGCACTGAAAGCAGCTTCACAACAAAATAAAGCCAAGGGAATCAAATCCTCAGATGACTTGAATCTAAAATCAACACTGAAAGTTAACATCACAACAATCCCTTCAGACTGCCCGCTGCACACCAGTAATGATTCTGAGATCACCCTGCAGTCTGCACCCTGGATATATGCCAATATTTTTTATTTATACTGATCCTGTGATGTGATCTAAACAAACTGGGGGTCAAACAGAATGAGACATGAGGCATATAATTTAACATAAATAATTGTCTTTGCTCGCTTTTACATGGATAGTGATTTAAAACTTGATAAATCAACTCTGCTGTAAAAATGGGCTTTCTTCAGCTTCGTCCACTCCTTAAGGTAAAGTCCTTCCTTACTCACAAGAACCTTAAAAAGGTAATTCATGCTTTTATATGTTCAAGATTAGACTGCACTGTATATTGGAGCCAGTCAATCTTCTCTTTCTCGTCTCCATATAGAACAAAATGCTGATGCTCACCTTTTAACCAACGCTCCCAGGTGCGAGTGTATAACTTCCATTATTTCATCCCTCTATTTAGCTCCATATATGCTTTAGGACTGATTTTAAAATGTTCATGTTCTCTTTTAAAGCCCTCAGTAGTTTAGCCCCTTGATAGCTTGCAGAACCTTTAATCACCCGCAAGCATGTGTGATCTCCTACTCATGGGGTGTATCTGTCAGCTTTGCTTTCAGTGTGCTTGTTTGCAGGTGGCTGGTGGAAGGAGTTGTCACTTGTTTGTGCGTCACCTGGCCTGGGTCTCCAGGCAAGTATAAAAGACTACTTGTCGTGGTGATCTTTCCGCTCTGACTCCCTGGGACTTGGCCTTCACCAACCTGTTGTATGGTTTGTTTCTAAACCATACAACACGCAAACACAGGTCAAAAGGAGGGCAAAGAAGATCACTGCAGACCCCTCACACCCTGGACTCAATCTGTTTGAACTCCCCTCTGGATGGCGCTACAGGTCACTGTACACCAAGACAACCAGACACAAGGACGGTTTCTTCCCCTGGGTTGTTTTGCTTTTTTTAACTTGTATATATTCTGTGTTTATTCTGTTTTTATATTGTGCACATCGGGGGCCACTGGGCTGGAGTCAGATTCCTTGTATTTTTGCTAATAATTGCCAGTAAAGTTGATGCTTATTCTTAACACTATACTTCCACTCATCCACACATTGCAAACACTGCTGACTTTTGCCTACTTACACACCACACAATTACGTTTAGTTAAATTTGGTAATGTTTAAATTAAAATAAACATAGGTGTGCAAACTTGGCCGTGTGCCGTGAGCCAGGGGGTAACATGTGACAGCGTTCAAGTATTCTGGTCCACGTCTGTTAGAAGTCCCAGGAACTGATTAAATGATTAACGCAAGCTTTTTTCAACTGAAAATTTTGGCAAAGAATAAATGTTTTCTCTCTTTTGATGACTCTGAAAAAGCAATTCATGCTTTTATTAGCTGCAGTTTTTCTGTGGCTGCTCCCAAACCATGGAACAGTCGACCAGCTGACATGCACTCTATTACAAATCTGGTACAGTGTATTTACACTGGCTTTTACTCCCGGTAGTGCCCTGACACTGTTTGGCTTGACTTATTTAAACTCAGTTTTGTTGTACAAAGTCCTTGTTTGTGTGAAGTACTCTTTGTTGTTGATGTGTTTCAATTCTTTGTTCTCACACTTGCTATTTTATTTTACTTTTACTATGCTATTTAGGCTTGTGTAAAGCACTTTGGCCGACCTCTGGTTGTTTTAAAGCACTATATAAATAAACTTTGACTTGATTTGGTTTTTGATTTGGAGGTCTGCCATGTGCACATGTGAGGTTTTCAGATTTTACCTGATTTTACAAACATGGGGGACAAAGACCTCCTGAACAGGTCTACAACCTCTGTTCAATCTGCAGCACCTGATAGTTATTAAACACATTTATGACTATTTTTTCAATAATATCTAGTCCTCTGCAGGCTGTCTTTAAACAAAACGGATTACGGCAGACTGTCTTGTACTCTGTTTTATATTCAGGGTTAATCTTTGAATAGCACACTAAATCATCATTAGTGGCTGATAGGTAATCAGTAAGTTCTTTTGAAGGGTTCTTGCCAAACACTGACAGGTTATAGCTCATATTACAGTGCTGTTGCAATGCCTTGATTGTCTGTCATTAAAAGCCAGTCAGAGCCTGTGATGCTCCTAGGGGCAATTAGAGTCGCCTAATGTAATAACTATGATTGATGATGGACAGGACGATTTTATGAGTACAGAGAGAGAGGATTTATGAATGAACTCAAATCACAACCGTTCACTACAGAGTGATATTTCACTTTTGAGCCAAAAGGTAGAGTTAAAGAACATCAACAAAAGACAAAAAAGGTGACTCGGGGTGGGAAGAGGGTTCACACAACCATATCACACACATCAGCACCGATGTTTCAGCTCTGCATTCATCAGTGTGCCACAGTCCTTTGGTTTCCTGTGGAGTTTACTTCACTTTTCACCGACAGCCAGTGTCAATTTAATGACTACCAACAGCTGTCCCATTAGATGTAATCAGAGGGGTCTTCAGGTTTACCCCTGCCACCCGTGTACACTCACAGAACCACTAATAATGTAAACAAAACAACAGATTATACGACTGAAGAGTTATTGTGGGGATCAAAACACAACCTCCAGCAACTATATACACCAAAACACACAAAATGAATAAAAGACAAAACACAGTATTAAGAGTGTTAAAAAGGTTCATACAGGAGCGGAGATATGCCACATTCCTTCTTTTAAACCTCATGCAACAGCAGAGGTGACAGGCACATCTGGTGACTGATTTATGCTCTGAAATTCTTGTTCTTAGTGGGTGAGATGACTTTCAGAGACCAAACCAACAGAGGGCAGACAGGCAGCGATGAGCTCGAGGCCCTCAGCATCTGACCTTGTGAGCAACGATTTGTGCCGGCGTCCTCTGCCAACTCTCCCTCTGCTGGGAAACGCAGTTGTAGTAGGAGAGAAAACCTCCCAAGGCTGTTGGGTGTCCCAAACAAAACAGCCATTATCAGCCTGCTTTCTTCTTGCTCAATCAGGGCCCTTGTGGCCGGTACTCCTCTGCCTACACAACAGGGCTGTGTGAGGACGCCACTGTTACAGAGCCATGTCCGGAGGCAAGTCACTCGCCAGAGGTGTTGAGCACTTTGTGTTTATGTTTGTGATGTGTTTCACAGTTCAATTATCAGTTGACGGGAACACAGCATCTAAAGAAAATATTTGTCCCATCTTGATCAAACCAATTTAATTTTCTTCCCCTTCTGTGACTTAAGTCATTGTTCCATTCCTGTCCCACCACATTCACTCTTAATCCTATCATGATCTGAATGATTATTTTCATGTTAACTGTTCACACTGTCAACTGTTCACTGTGTTCATTGTGACTGCTTGACATGTACACTGACATGGAGCAGGAGGCGTTCAGTGAACACATGACATTTTGCAACTTTTTTTTAGCTTTTGGAGGCATTTCATGACTGGCCATTACGAATAGTAGGGGGGACAAATTATTTTTGTGACTGTTTTTGTTTGTGTGTGTCATCCTGGAGGCAAGAGATAAATAAAAGAGGACTCTCAAACATAAGCAAACTCATCTCCTCCTCATACATTTTTACATTTGGGAGGTAACTTTCCGGTCACTGCATTACTTAAAAAACAAATGTTAGGGTTTTTTATATATATATATAAGGATAATAATCACCTTTATTTGGCCAAGTATGTTACACACAAGGAATTTGTTTCCGGTACAGAACCGAGGCAGCCAATGACTCTAACCATTGGGGGCAACTTGGGGGTTCTTGCCCAAGGACACTTCGACATGTGGACAGCAGGCACCGTAATTCAAACCTCAAACTCTCTGGTTGGGAGACAATCGCTCTACCCACTGAACCACAGTCGCCATACTAATCAATTTTCAAGTGTTTCTGTGATTTGTGGGGGCAACAGGAGAGGATGCAACAATAACAGCCAAATTTTCCACCACCGTGTACAGTTCAGGTCAGAGCTATGGCAGAGGAAGTTACACTATTGACACTGCTGCATTTGTCACTGCAGATCCTTTTTACATGGATTGTTGTACTGTGCATACTACATGTGTCATTTTCTGGATGTTTGGGTCTACAGCTTGTTCGGAGGACTGTAAGGACAAATCTGTTATCCAGTTCAATAAAAGTTATTGATTTGTAGATACAAAGCACTGCCTGTCTTTTAATATTTATATACAGGTATAGGGACAAACCAAAGAAAGCCCTGCAGACTTTGGCTTCCTCCCAACATGCCTGATGTGCACAGTCAGACCTCTCTTAGCCTCTGAACTGCAGGTACTACTGCAGCTCGGAAATGCTATGATAGCACGGAGCCAGACTGTGATTTGGAGCCTTGACTTCAGCCTGAGGAACTCTGTGTTTTTCCTCCTCCTTCCTAAAACCTTACCAACTGTAATTTTGCAGAACCTGTTGTTAGCTGAATTTCTTCCTGGAAGGCAGCCAAATGCTTTGGTTTGGCACAACTGTTTCCATGGTTAATGTTCACTTTATCAGAGAACAATAACCTCTTGACTACACCTGAATGACTAATAGCACCTGGGTGGGAAAACAGAAAGTGTGAAACGATCCCCAGAGCGTGTTGGTCCTGTGATTCCTGTGGAGACAATATGTGTGTATGCATCAGTGTGTGAGTGCGTATCCTACCTGCCTCTAGACCGTTGCTCTGGTACACACTCTTGTGGCGTAGACAGGTGTTGTTTTGTCCTCCACACACCATGCAGGCATCCTCCTGCTGCTTTGAGCCCAGGATGAAGTCACAGCCAGGTTTCTGTATGACACACACAAACACACAACTGTTGAGGAAATGGTCTGAGCTGCTTGGATGTCTCTGCTGAAACGTGTTTCTCTGACAGCGTGTTGAGAGGCAACATTCCAACTTCCCACATTTCTGCCGAGAGTCCTGGCAACTTGTACCCGCTCTTTTTGTTTTGTCAAACCAGAGCCTTCTGCTAACTCAGTCCACTCTCTCTCTTCTCTCTTTGACTTCTCTGTGTCATTCTCACCTTCTCACCAACATTTACATTGGAAACAATCAGCAGCTCAGGGCCTCAGGAGAGGAAGACGAGTCCAGGAGTTGTCTCTGTAAAGGTTAAAGTGCTACAGTAAGCAGCACTGAAGATGAGCTGGATGGTTTATGGTGTGTTGAGAATCTGGTTATTGGACAGATTACAGTGGCTGGTTTCTAATGGGGCCTTTATATGTCACTCTGTAGACCAAACCAATCAAGGGAGAGGTTCCAGGCAAGGCAGCAACAATCTTGGTGCCCTAATCTCCTTAAAAACACAAAAAAGCCATTCCAGGCATCTGTGTGTGCACAACAAGAAAAGGATCCTCAGTGACAAGGTAGCAGAGTGCATGAGGGGCCCACTGAGGGGCGACCACAAAAAACATACAGCCATGCCAGCCAAATCGTGTTAATGTGTTTTAAAACATACACACAAACACTTCCCACTCACCAGGCAGCGCCCTTTGACACACACCGCCCCGTGCTCCTTGTCGCAGGCGGTACCATCAAGTACATGGCCAAAGTTGTAGTAGAAGTTGTGACCCAAGGCCAGACAGCTCAGTTCACAGGGGTCTGAGCCTGGCAGGGAAGATATCAGTCAGTGAACAGCAGTTTATTATGAAAGAATAGGCAAGACAAAGGGACAGGGAGGGAGGAAGTGAAGAAAAGGCAAAGTGCTGGCAGATGTCGTGGACAAAACTCATAACATAGGTGGGATTAAACAACCAGCAGGCCCCACGGTGAACACAAGAACCATGGCAGGTTGGAAGGTTCACAGTGACCAAAGATACAGATGGGAGCAACCAGCAAAAAAAAACCTCTACCCCAGCTCAGATCTGTGATTTCTGTTTGTTAGCCTGAGGCATGGAACAAACTGATTTACACTTAACTTGGGATGCACTTGATTTTAACTTGGACAAGCTTCATTTTGTTGTGAGGTTCAGTAATAGATCTATAGCAGCTGACAAAAGATCTTTAAACTGGTATCTACTGTGTACCACAGTATATACTACAGAGGATTCTATATCATGAATATCTCTAGTTGTATTGTCATTATGTATTTGAAATGTTGAGCAGTGCTGAGTTACTGGATTTACAGATTATTGCATCTATGTGATAAAGTACTTACATTTTTCAGGATTAGCCAAAAACACTCATATGGAAGTGAATATTTCACATTTATGTATATTTAAATGGTTTTCCAACTGTGTTAGAAGAAAATGGACTTTCTTGCTTTTATAATTCAAAATGACATAAACTGGGATAAAGAACACAGAATGAAGCTAATAACAGCACTGACACTATATTCCACAAAAATGTTGCACTAGTGCTGGACTCTGGCCTAGTACAGTGACTCGTCTCAAGGCATAAGACAACAAAAGCTGACTTGGTTACAACTTTAGTACTGTGGATATAATTCACTTTTGTTTTGTATGAACTGCCACTAAGATCTGAAGAATTTAATACAAAATGCCTGCAGAAAAGTCACGTTTGTATCTATACAAGTGTTGTGAGAAGAGTTGACTTGTCTCACTGACCTCCATGGAAAGGGGTCCATTTGAAGGAGCTCCCAGAAACTAAGGGTCTGTCATTGAAGGCGGCACACTGCATCTCTCTGAAATCCTCTGAGCCAAAGGGACACTCCTGCACACACACACACACACACACACACACACACAGACACTGTGTTTTCATTTTTTGTGGGGACTTTACATTGCCTTAGATTCTTTTCCTGTAGACTTATCCTTAACCATAACCACTACATGCCTAACACCTAACCCTGACCCTGACCTTAAACCATGTTGCCACCCTAAAATTCAGTGACTTCATGGCTAACCCAAGTTGTCACCCAGACCTTTACCCTAAAACCACATTGAAACTCTAAAATAAATGCTCAGCCTTGTGGGAACCAAACTGTTTTCCAGTCCGGGTGAGTCCCCACATGTGCATATTTCTGCAACTCAAAACTTCATGTTCCTACAATAAAATACAGCAAAGAGAGAACCTGGGGTCTGAGCTAATAATACTCTACAAACTGCCACATGCACACACACTCAAGCATGTTTAAACTCACTGCAACCCATATGTCAGCTTTTCCTTTAATCAATATGGGCTGCAGTGACTCGCCGTCCAAACACACCCACACATTCTGCCCTGCGTGTCTGGCGCTCAGCATGTTTCTGACACAATAGCAGGTCTGATACCTGCCTGCAGCACGATTGTGAGGTTCAGTGCGCTGAAGACACAGGTTAATGTGTCAGTGAAATTCTGCTTCACACCCTGAACACACCTGCTGTACATATATGACCAACTTGTAAAGCAAACATCAGCCATTGCTCTGAAGTGTCTGCACTGAAAGTCAGTTTTTCATATAGCGTGAAAAATGCTATGCTGAAATGACCTTGGTGTTGCAGATCTTGTACTGCCTGGGATCTCCCACACACGGTCCACCCACCGGGTTCCTGGGACACAAAAAGAGATGAAGGGATAAACAAGAGGAGAGAGTTTCCAATCAGAAACTGTGCAGTGAGTGTGTCTCATCAAAAACACAGAGAAAGCAGTTATATGTGGCATATTTTATTTATTTTCATTAAAACCTGATTTTAACAGTATTTGATTAATGTAAAGTTTCATGGAGATGTTCATTTGTATGTTGCTTTAAAAAAAAGCATCTGCTAAATAAATAAATGTAAATGAAAAGAGATCAAATCAGGGTGAACATCAGTTTTAAATCTACAGTATCTGCTACTTTAAACCAGAATTACTGTGTTGTTTGTATGCTTCCCCCAACCAGACCTTTGACCTTTGACCTCCAAAACCAAATCAGTTCATCCTTGAATCCAGGTGGACATTTGGGCCAAACTTGAAGAAACTCCCTTAAGGCGTTCCAGAGATACTGTGTTCATGTGAATGGGTCAGAGGATCGTACTTACAGCCTGACAACATGATGCCTCCAGTTGCGGCCGTCAACAACGCAGAGGCATAAAGAAGTTCCCAAGATTTTCAGGGAGAAATCAACAAGCCTGAGGTTTATTAGAAATTGGCAGAATTCCTTATCTTAATGGTTGTGTCAAATCAAATCAATTTAATTTATGAAGCCTAAGTCACACATTTACCTCAAAGGCTGTTATAAATGTGAATGCATTAACGAGGCATTTGAACACATCTCAGATATATTTTATAAAATGTTACAATTTTAAGATCTCAACTGCAGAAACTGCCAATAAATTATTTTGAATATATTACACTAAATGCACTTTTGGTCTCACTAAAAGTTGACATTCAGACATAGACCACATACAGAGGATTTCACTTGCAGGTTTGAATTTTTAAAAGCATGTCAAACCTATTTGCATTTTAACTTTTCTTTCCATATTTACCTGGTGATACAGGTGCGTGTGCGTATTGAAGCTCCGCCTCCACAGCTGCGTGAGCAGACAGACCAACCGGTCCACACCGCCCACTCATTCCTGAAGTGCAGCTGCCGTCGGGCACGTGTTGGACGTCCCCACGCAGAAATCCAGGAGGACGAATCCAGACAGAGAGAGAGAGAGAGAGAGAGAGAGATGGTCGCAGGTGAGAGCTGAGAGCAACAGGTGGAGACATCGGTCAATCAACATACATCTCTTTCAAAAGCTTCTTACTGGAATGGTGAGACACACAACAGACAAAGCAACATTACCTGTTGAGACTTCATGGGCCTTGCATACACAGGCGTGTGGCTTTCTAAACTACAGTTTGTCCTGTTGGTTAGAATTAAAGCAAACTGGATGCATTGGACCTCAGCAGCACAGTGGTGCAAATTAAAGGCTTCAATTATTGATTTTTAATAAATCTGGAACAAATGTGTCACTGATATGAGAAAATTACTCTGCAGTTTAAACAAATAAAACTTTATAAACACACTTAATGAAACATGTAAAACCTTCCCTGCATTTCGATGCAGAGCAGCAGCACCGTGCTCAGAGATCAGTGAGCTGCAGGTTTATTTTCTGTTTCTGCTCTGTTTCCTGGACAAACAGCAACTGTGTAGTTGTGCACAGTTGAGTTCTTGTCACCCAACACAATGACCACAGCAGGGACAACATGACTCTGCAGGAACTGTCCTGCATGTTCGAAGCTGTCAGGGGGCGAGTGGTGGCCGCCAGCAGCTCGCAGTCGCTGAACGTGTGTGTGTCCGAGTGTGTCGGCAGAAGAGTGGAGTGTCATTTGTGAAAGGGGAAACATGTCAGGGGAGTTTCAGTATGTGTGACACCTTAAAAAACCCAAAGTTACTTATAGCCACATATTGAACAGGCAAATGATTCTGTTCAAAGATGGTATAAAAGCCTCATGGGCCTAGAGTCAAAGTGATTAGAGAGACCTTCTCTAACACATTCCAGAGGTTCTGCCCTGGAGGAGGAGTGAAACTGGCAGTGTTCCCACTGGCTTACTGTGCAGGAGCTGACTCACACACAGCGTTGAGGTCAAAGTCATATGGAGTATCTGTTCTACAAGACTGGAATCAACACACAGCCCAGACATGAAGATCACGTAGAAAACAGCGACTTGTCCTCCCTTCCTGACACTTATTGTCAAGTAATGAAATTCATCATTCATAATCTCTCCACTATATTTCTGATAATCTGATTATTTTAATTTGTAAAATCACAAAACAATGTGAAAAATGCATCCTACAATTTGACAAGTGATGTCAGAAGGGTTTTTTCAGACCAACAATCTCAAACTCAAAGATATTCAATATATATAATGAAGACAGATATATACAAAGGTGTATTATCAAAGTGCTGCACTAAGGGTTGTCGCTCTGTTACACAGTCATGGGTTCAGTGTTCATCAGAGTGATGGCCTGGAGGAAGAAACTGTCCCTGTGCCTGGTTGTCTTAGTGCACAGTGACCTGTAACGCCGTCCAAAGGAGAGGAGTTCAAACAGATTATATCCCGGGTGTGAGGGGTCAGCAGTGATCCTCTCCACCCTCCTTTTGACCCATGAGGTGTACAGGTCCTCCATGGAGGGTAGGCTGGCACTGATGACCTTTTCTACAGTCCTGACTGTCCACTGAAGTCTGTACTTGTCCTGTTTGGTTGTCGAGCCCAACCAGAC